GAATCTTCCAAAAAGCAAGGAAAAACACTGTAAAAGGCAAGAGGATCATTTCAGTGTGCATCTCTCCACCCTGCCACCACTGCGTCCTGGGGAGCATCCAAACACTTCCTCAACCTGGCAGCAGCCAAAGGTACCTTTTTCCAGACCTGCCAGACTCAAAGGATTCCCTCACTTCACACAGCCTTGGTTCAGTTGTGCAAGGCCAGTGGGAAGCTGCTTTGTTGGCCCAGTAGCTCCCAATACTGTCAGATTCATATTTCACCTGTGCCAGAGCTGCTTGGTCAGGTACGATGCCACGCCAAACCACGCTTGAGGAACTCTACCAGCAATCATATTCCTGTCCATAATTCCATTTTTCTCTGTGAGTGGTTGCTGCTTTCTCTTTAGCCATTTCCTTACACCGTTGATTCTGCTGGTACCAGCACCCACATCTTCACCCCATGTCACTGAGGGCTTGTCTGAAACTGATTTTTTTATTTCTTTTTTTGCATAGGAAAGGGAGTTGGAAATTCTTGCATAAAATCTTACGTTGCTATAGCATCATTCTAAATGTGTGTCATGTTAAAAACTTTTAAGAAACAAGAATAAAAACATCAAGAAAACCAAGGTGTTCTTTCAAGACTTTGATTCTTCTATTGTTTAAGACACCTGCCACAAATCTGTTTTTCTAGCTTAGTTTTCCTTTGACATACATCAGCAGTCCAAGCTCAGTGCAATTATTCTGAATTAGCATAAAACAATTTTGCAGCATTTGGCTAAGTTACCATTACAGAGATCAACAAAGGGAATTCTGCCTGCTCAGGCAGGGTCAGTGTTCATCCCTCAGAGAACCTCATTCTCAGGCCCATGTTTTCCATCCTGTTCTTCACAGGGCCTTCTACAGGTTGATTCTTTCCCCTTGCACAAGCCGTGCTCGGAAGTTCCAAATATCCTTCAAAACAAAAATGAGACAAAAGAAAATCACCTTGAGTGCCAGAAAAACACAGTGACCAGGATTCCAGTTTACAGAGATGGGAATAGAGGATTACTTTGTTTTTATCATCTTGTGAAGGCAAAATAAGACCTGGGCACTCCTCTGGGAGAAAACTTCAACTCTGGCTAAAAAACATCCTTAAATCGAAACAAAAACATAGAGACTTCTCTGGGGTTTGTAAGAGCAACCTCATTTCCACTCAGGAGAAGGAGAGAGCCTCACTACATATCCCTTCAGATATCACCAAGTACCTAAATAAGCCAGGAACCAAAAGCCAAGCAAGCCGTGGTTTCACAGACATGAAAGATCAGTTTGCAAAACACAGCTGGGCACTCCACCACACCCAGGCACACTGGGGGAAACACGCAGAACAACACAAAAATGCCAAGGTTGAGAAAGAAAGTACCCCCTCCAGAAAGCCCCAGATACTGTAAAACATCTACATTTTAGAAGAAAATTGCTGCTTTTACATCTAGACTTTACTGCATTGATAGTGGCTTTGCACACCCTTGGGAATTGCTGTGGATTAAGGCATTCAGAACATTTTCACCCCAGTAACAAGGTTTATTTTTCTTTCAGTGCCTGGATCCCTGAAGAATTTACATTTGCTTTCTATTTTACTCAATGGTCTCAGTTATTCAGCAAGAGTCCATTAGTCCCACTTATTTTTTTTTTGAGGCAGATGTGTATCACTGCTGTCAAACCTGCTGTAGCCTGGAGTATAAACAACTGATGTGGAATTATATTTAAGCAAAAAAAATCCATTTGTTATTGCGATCAGATGTGGCTACTTGTTTTAAAAGGAAAATCCACCCAACCCTTAGGAGGGGAAACTCTAACAACTGTGGACATACAAACTGGACAAGCACTGAATGTATTCCAACTTACAGTTTTGGATTCAGGGCAAATGACCACAATTTTTTTATTTACAAGCAGAGCTTCAGAAGGAACTTTTGGAGCTCCAGGGATGTGAAGAGGCTGCCAGAGGGCAAGGCATGATGAAGAAAAAGGCCCCAAAAAAGCCTGCCAATCATCCTCTGAACATCAGGTCTTTTATCCTGCCAAGCACCTTTGCCTGGTACAGCTGATCTGCCAAACTAGGCATAGCAAAGAGCACCAATCTGCCACACGAGAGACTTGGGAAAGGAAACTGACCTGGTTTGCAACAAAGGGCACTGAGCCAAGTCTCACCTTGAGCTCCACAGAAGTCGCATCGTATTTCTTGCAAACCATTTCCTGCATCTCCTTCTCCAGGTCTTCCTGAGTCGTGTTCTTGACATCGATGTAGTG